GAAGGGTCTCTCCTCGAGCCCTGTGTCTTTTTCCAGGTCTTGGAAAAGCACAAAACCTTTCAAGGCAGATTGTTTTATTGGTCTGGGAAAACACCAAGACTGGTGCTATTCAAGCAGCAATTCCTGTTGGTCCGTCTTGTCCTCCTTAGAACAGTCTCCTTAGAGAGAAGGAGCATGCGTTTTGGCTGCTCTGTACATCTGGGTTTTTCAAGCTGTGGACCAACCCCATTAGAGGGTCAAGAAAGCAATTTAGTTGATTGCAGCCAGTATTATACAAAAGGAAGAAAGGGAGAATTGAAGATAAAATATGAATGTATTACACACAGAAAGAGTATTATTTTATGAAGCATTATACAATTATCTATGCAGACGACCCCAGCTTGTGATGTAAATCATATTTCCCAGTGTAGGCAATGGTCAAAAAAGATGTGAAAAGCCTTGCTTCATATGCTTCTACTTTTGTTCTAAGAACACAGGTCAGTTGGCGCCCCACAGCATATTGTCCCTCACGCTCCAAGGTGTGAGCACCATTACTTGCCCACTCCTAAGCCAGTCACTACTTAGGACAGTTTGCTCAGACTAATGTGGGTGCACCCTCTAGGGCTGGAGAGGGGCCCAGCCTCCCTGGTTGGCACCACCATGGAGTATCTGTTATGTGGGAGGACAACCGTGAGGGAGGCACGCCGCAGCTGCTGCCCTGGGAGGAGCCCGTGGGGCTCGGAGGTGGCATGCATGCAGGTACAGGGACCACGGTAGACACCAGTTACAGCAGCTGGAGCTGGGGCGGGGGAGAAGGTGAAAGACCCGCGGTTAAATCGGAGACGTCCCCTGGAGCTCAGAGTGGCAGCGTGGGAACCCTGATGCCCCATCGCTAACTGTAAGCCTGGAGCTTTTGAGCGCTGCCAGACTTGGTGCAAACCTCTAACATAGCCTGTAAAGTCTTCTTTATTTGACGTTTTTCCGGTCTCTGCAGCCTCTCCACTCTCCTTTCTTCCCTGGATCAGTAGGTTCCAGCCACAAGACCCCTTGTTTGAGTCTTCCAAGTATGCCAATCTCCTCTTCTGCCCCTGCGCCTTCCACGCGTGCCTTTTCCTGCGTGTGTGTACGTGTAGGTACTGGGGCAGTCGTCACCTGCTGGTCCTGAGGGTGACTAGTGACACGTCTGTGGGGGTTGGCCATTTGTGGCCTTGGGATGAAGGAGACTCAGGTTCACTGGCTTGTTTGGGGACCAAACTGTGACCTTGGTGTTTTTAGCAATGCACTGAAATAAGGAACAGTGGAGCTGCCCGGGACCAAGAAGGCATTGCCCGGCGTGATGGCAGAGTGGGAGATGGTTGGCTTTGATCTCACTAGAGAACTGACTTTAATACCTGGTCTTGTCATTTATTAGCAATTTAATTTTTTTCTGAGCCTCAAATTCCTCCTCTCTGAAATGGAGACAATAGTAATACCAGGAGTTTTTGGAGGATTTAATGAGATAACTTGTTGGAAGACACTAGAAGGTGGTAAACATGGGAGTTGTCACTGCAGGGTTTCCCATTCTCACTGCACTTTGTAAGCACCTCTGTTATGACACTCTTCATGGTGAGTTGTGATCATTCCATTTCTGTGTCTGTCTCCTTCTACTGGACTGAGGCCCAGGCCTTTTCTTACTGTTCACTTTTCCCGGGCCTCCTGCCCAGGGCCTGCTCCAGACAAGGCTCAGACGTGTGCCGAACTGGGTGCTCTTTAGTACTTGGGATTTGCTGGGAGGCATCTTTGAATTTTGAGTCTTCCTCCTTCCCTGCCCTCACTGAAGACTGGGCAGATCCTGTCCTGTGGGACCTGCTTGCGAGCAGGAGTCGTAGCAGTCCGTTGGAAGATTCATAAAATCGTAAAACGCTCCAGTGCACTTCTGGGTGCTCAGACAGGCACGTGTTTGAGTGGCAAACCAGCTGTGCTATCCTGATCTTTTCGTTGATAAATTCTAGGGTTTCTGAGGGATTTCCGTCCATATGATCTCTGCTGCAACACGTTTATTACTTCCATCAGTGCAGTTCCATCTGTCAAGCATTTACTGAGCACGTTGTACATGCCAGACCCTGGGCGAGGTGTGGGCACTTCTAGATGAGGAAGATAGTATCCCCAGTTGAGGTGTTCCAGGTCTCATCAGGGAGAGAGGTGAGAAAACAGAGACTTTCTCTAGGATATGGTATGGGCAGCGATGGCGGTGGGCATAGTGTTTTATAGGAGCTCAGAACAGGGCCCTTTTTCTTAATTATCTTTCCCCCCTAAGAATCCCATTGCTCCTGTTTCTAACAGGTGGATGGGGGAGTCGAATTGTAATTCCTGCCTGCAAGGATGAGTTGAACACTGGCAGATACCCAAGGGCCAGTGTGCATCAGTCAGAGGCCCAGCTGACAGACCTCCTGCACTGGATGAAAGAAAAAGTTCCGGGGGCCGCAGGTGCAGGGCCCTGCCTGAAGTGTGGTGGGGCTTAGAGGACTTGGGGAGAGGGGTTCGGCCGAGGCTGCACCTGGTGGAAAGGGCACGGACATTTCTCGTGGCTGGCTGTGCCCAGCCCCAGTGCCAGATTTCTGCTGCTTTCTTTGAAGTGAGCTTTACTTTTCTTCCCTTCCCCATGTGAATGTTCCTGTTTCTCTGCCTTTTGCTTGTCCGTCAGCCTTCCTTTCTTATTTCCCTCCTTGCTTTCATCTCCATGTTTCCTGTCACTGCTCCCTCCCCATCCTCTCCTTCTCCTCCTCCACCCCCTTTTCTTTCTCCCTACACTTGTACCTTCCTGCCTTTTAATGTGGTCCTGGGGCTCCCACCTCCATGTTCTGAAATGTACTTGGTTCATTTCAGGGTTGGGGAGGAGATTGTCATTTTCAACGGTCCTTTTTATGACGTGAAAGAGCATCTCGTGTGTATCTGGGTATCCTAGGAAACAGAACTCTGGTTTCTGAACAGGACAAGAGTCTATCCACTGTGTTTGTAAGACAGTGAACCAGAGAGAAAGCAGCCTCCCCTGTGCCCTCAGAAGACTCAGGGTACCGGCTCCTTCCCCTGTTACAGGAGCAGGGGAGAGATGACCCCGTGTCCCTGGGGTTCTGATTCTCTGTCAATACACCCATCCTTGAAGCTTCTCTTTCTCTCCTCTTTATTTTTTCCTATTTCTGTCCTGTTTTGTGGTCCTATTTTCCATGTTTTTCCTTGCTCTCTCTTCTCTTCAGTTTTCCTCTACTCCTTAGAAATTATATCACTCCCCTCCCAAATTTCTCTTTGACCTTGGAAGATAGAGTCAAAAACAGTGTCAGAGACTCTGTTCTCCTCCAGTCCCTCCTTTTCAGATGAGCATATGGAAGTGTAGCTTGGGAGAGACCGAGGAGACTTGGAAAGCTTGCATAGCTCCTGAAATTCTTTATGAGAGAAGGGTTTCTTTCTGGTTCTTATTTTGAGGTCAGACCGACATTGAATTATAGACTCCGAAAGTTGAAAGAAATCTCTATTGATCATTTAAATAACTTTCAACCCAGTGTTGGAACCCTCTTTACTTCCTAAAAGAGAGTTCTTCTGTCTGTGCTTGGACACTTGTATTGTCAGGAAGTCACTACCACATAAAGCAGTCTACTTGGTTGTTGGCCAGCAATCTTCGTTTCAGAGTGACTTCTCAAGATGGGAATGTTCTGGACCTGTGTAATTTGTGCCTACTGATCCCATACCTGCCTGCTGGAGACAATACAGCACAAACCTCTCATTCAAGTTCTCGTTCACACATCGAAGGCACTCTAAGTTACCTTCCTCCATCCTTGAAATATTTCAGAGAGGTTCCACCAAAAATAATTAAATGAAATAAACCATTCTTGTCACCCTTTGACTATATAGAAAATTCAGTTTTCTGAATGACTCATTCCCCAGTAGTTCCATAGAGCTGAAATTGTCCTGGAGGTTGAAAGGAAGAAAAAGTGCTATCCTACAGGAAGGCGGCTAAAATTAGAGCTGTAAAACTAATATTATTGATGTTTGTGTTAGACATAATATCTGTTTTGCACATTATAGTTTACGGAACACTCTTAATGTTCAATACCATGTCATTTTGTTTCTGTAAGTAGGCTGTGGTACTCCCCCATTTTGTACATGAAAGCAGTGAAGCCCACAGAGGCTGACTTGCCTCAAGGCGCCCAATTCTCAAGTGCACGAATCGGAACCGAAACCCAGTTCTTCTGACTCTTAGTCTTCTGCTGTGTCTCTCATAAGTACTTAAGTGTCTTTGTCTCTCCAAAGTACCTGCAATGTCATGGGATTATATGAAATAAATTGTCTCCTCAAGACAAGGTACTTGGTGTACATGATCTATTAGGATTGTTATGGATTTTGGGTGTATGTGTATGTGTTTCTGGATATGGCTGTAGAAGTGGAAACCAAATCCAGGTCATGCAGTGACTTAGGGAGATTATAAAAATACTGTATGGGGACCAGTGAAGTTATTCCCTGATTATAAGCATCAGTGTGATTGATTTGTTTGGTTAAAAATTCTAAGTGTCAAGACAGAGAAGAGTCAATTACTCCTGTACTGCAGTTAACTCAGAGAAATTTCCTGAAGGAGATAAGAGGCAGGGAAATCTTAAGAAATCTTTGAAATTAAAAAAAAAATGCGAGGGCCTTGGTAGGTTGGAAAGGAGGGAAGGAGGTTGGCGAGGGGCAGAGAGCAGAGTAGGGGATGTGGTTTAGGGGAAGGAATAAGACAAATGCTGGGGACCTTGTGTTTTACTGATGATTTGGAACTAGGATTCCAATGTGATGACATGTCTTCCTCCTTTGCAAAGTGAAACCCAGATGTGGCTAAATTTAATTCCACTCGGAACCACTGGTGATTCACCCGAGCTCAGGTGCGCCCACACACAGCTGGCATCAGCTCTGTGCGCTTTCCAGGCTGATCATCTTTAACCCAGCTTCCCCCGTGAACAGGGGGAGAAAGCCAGACTGCGGTAACCTTGACCCTTCTGTATCTCCATCTGCAGCATCCTGGCCACTGCGGGAACCCACTTCAACACACACGTGGACCTGAGGACCCTCCGGGCCGTGCGTGTCCTGAGGCCCCTGAAGCTCGTGTCAGGGATTCCTAGTGAGCACCTGCCTTTCTTCTTTCTCCTCTGCTAATAGCTTTACTGATACGTCCTCAACCGGAGCCAGGGTCTAAGAGAATTTGGGATAAACATGAAATAATCTCTTTTGGGAGGAAGCCCCTACACTAATAAATAGAGGAGATGCAGCAATCTGGCATCCCATTTCATTTTCAAATTTAGCAGATTTTCTCCCCCAGATTTTAAAGATAATGAAAGATCTTTATAGAAAATTTGGACAGTACAGGGAACAATACAAAATGAAAGTGAAGAGCGCCCCTTGACCCTGTCACTCAGAAATAACTTTGGTCAACATTTTAGCATATTTTTTTGGATAATTTGGATGCTTTATAAATCA